ATTACCAGTTCATCCATGAGTGATGAACTGATGTAGGTATTAAGTTCAGCTCTTACTCTACTTTCTTCTGATGAAGACAGAGTCACACATTACTTCTTGGGAGAGATTAATCTTAACCTAATTAGTCTTGGTATGACTAGATCAAACAATTAATATGTTCCTTCTTCCCTATCTTCTTTCTTCCCTTCCTCAAACATTTGTTACTGTGCCTTCCTTGTTAGAATCCATTCTAGTAGTTAAAAAAAAAGATCAGTTTTTTGGGGCCAACAAGTGGTGTGATGGTTAAGGGTGCTGGACTCCTACATGACTGACTGTGGTTCAAGTCCTGGACCTGGCAACTTGCTTTTTCACTTTCACTCTCGCTCGCTCACTCTGTCCCTCTCTGATCAAATTAAAATAAGTAAATAAATAAGTAAAGTTAAATAAAATTTTAAAAAAAGATAAATTCTTTTCCAGACCTAAAATCATAAGCAAATATAATAAAACCAAGGACTATTCAATCTCTGACAGATGTAAGATATACTTACTATAATTTTTAGAGTCAGTTAACATTTTATGTAAATATCTTTTGGCTTTTCAGGCCACATGATCTCAGGGATATTTACTCAACTCTGTTTTTGTAGTGTGACAGGAGCCAGAGATAATGTGTAAATAAATGAACATGGCTATGTTCCAATAACTTTATTTGAGAATATTAAAATTTGAATTTCATGTAATTGTAGTGTGTCACAAAATACTTTGTTTTTGAATTTTTTTCACATTATTTATTATTTGTTTTTTGTATATACTTTCAATCATATTGTTTGGCTTACAATGAGACCATTTCGATATGTGCACATTTCTCCCCAGATCCATTGATCAAAATATCTTTAACAGATAACACCACACCTCCCCATCCGGTCAGTGCTCTATCTCTGTATCCCTTCTCCAAATGTCCTTCGTTAGGCCCCACTCCTCCAAATACACCTCGTCTGACATTCACACCCATCTCTTGTGTTTGTTCAACCACTAGTCAATCAGTTTCAGTCATAGAATGCAGACATACGGTATATGTTAAGTGGGGACATACAATGTCTCTCCTTCATAGCCTGGCTTGCCTCACTCAGCAGTACATCTTCCATATTCTTCCACTTTCTGTCAAAAGCCAGGGTTCTGTTGGTTTTTATGGCTGAGTAGTATTCCATAGAGTATATGTGCCACAGTTTTTCAATCCATTCCTCCATACGGGGGCATTTGGGTTGGTTCCATGACTTAGCAATTGTGAATAGTGCCGCAATAAACATCAATGTGCAAGCACTTTTCCAGTGAAGAATTCTGTCCTTTGGGTAGATACCGAGGAATGGGATCCCTGGATCATATGGCAGATCTATCTGTAGATTTTTGAGGAATCTCCAAATTATTCTCCGGAGTGGTTGGACCAATCTACATTCCCACCAGCAGT